TGAGAATCGCTCTTGAAAGCGCATATAATCGCACACGGCCAGGGAACCTCCCTGAGTTCCATTCTACAACCGGAGAACACGCGGTAGTACGCCGTCACAGAATAATCAGACGCGGCGAAGGTACTTCGAGGCTTTCCTCTATCCATGATAACTAAATGTTCGAGGACGAACATTCTAATTTTGGGGAGATAATGTTATGATACGACATGAGCCAGATTATAGATTCTGGGCATCCTGTATAATACGAAGGACGAAGAGTCTAAACATTCCTGATCGGGGTTACCCCTCACCTACTGTATAGAAGGGTTCCGAACTATAAAGGAGCGTGAGGCTGAGACATCCCTGAAGAAGGATAACACTTTTTAGACATCGAGAATACGACAGATAGACTAGGCCTATCCACTAAGGCTGAACTATCTATAAACCGATCTACTCGTAGTTTAAGAGACAGCTCCAGGCTGTTTCATAATAAAGTCTAAGACGTTGTAAGAAGTTAATTGATATTACTGCATGGCAAGAGGGTTGCGAAGATTGTAGATGTGAATTAAGAATATAAGGGAGTCAACAGAAAATTCAAATACTCCGGTAATTGTGTATGTCCCAAAAGTTTTCCTGAGCATTTTAAAGGTTTTTATATATATTCGTTATATAGTTTTGCCCCTTTAATCAGATGAATCTACCAAAAAAAAAAAAAAAAAATTCATTGTGATTCGTCTCGACGTGAAGGCGATGAAAGGCTGGAGAAAAGTTTGGAAATAATTATACAAACAAGAATGGTTGGTGCAAAATGACCTCACCGCCATTCATCTATTCACTCACGGATCCTGTATTTCCTTCAGAATATGTTAGCTGGGGAGTCACGACTTGAAAACAGGTTGTGTTTCAAATCCTGCCATAGCGATCAGAAATTAACCAACCTTCACAATGAGTGTGAGATTGTGCACTTCTGGTGGCAAAAAGATCAACTTTCAAGCTCCAATGCCCTGAAGTGAAATGGAAGCTCCTCAATATTTTTTCTTTTAGAGTCTAGGAAAGCTTAATTGGTTTGCTAAAGTCGTTCTTAGGGCTTTTTTGTAATTTTAAATATTTTGGAAGCATTCTTTGGAACCGCATGACTTTTCACGATTAGGCAAAAAGTAATGGCACACCCTCAAAAATAATTCTGACCATAATATCGGGCTATATATCTCACCTCTACTTTAGTGGTCAAAATGGTATCTATTTAGCCTTTAGGTTGAGAGGGTTTAATCATGCTAACTGATTATTTAACCTTGACCCACTGCCTTCAAGCCTTTATGAAAACAAATCCATATAATGCACGAATACACTAGTTTGTTTTCAAATAGGAGTCTCTAAAGGGACCAGAAAACAATTCACATTGGCGATCCCGCGGGTAATCGTGACACAATTATTTTGGGTGATGTCTTCATAAGAGAGCTAACGGAAGTAACCTGTTACAACTTGCAGTCTTAAATGAGAGCATGGAACCTGATCGATTTGTTACAAACCAGCCTGTTCCAAATTTCGTTCAAGAGAACATAATACAAATTTTTAAACAAAATATTTAACTGTGCGAACGGTCTTCTTTTAGACCTTTAAAAATCACTGAAAACTGAGACTATTTGCATAACGTTTTTGTGAAAGGTTTGTGTGTTAATTGAATTGCCGAGAATTTCTGTAGCCAATTTTTTTTTCTGAAGGGAAAATTGTTTGGCTACAAGGCTTTGATCCTTCTAAAAGCACCAAAACTCTTCAATTCAAGTCTGTCGTTACTATTGTGACTACACGCGACAGTCATCTTGCAGCTCGCCAAATACGATCTGTAAATGAAGCATCGAAAGAAATGATATGGCTAATAAATACTGACTTCTTCTCTCACTCTATGGCGAACAAAATTTGATATGTTGTGTAAACCACAGCAACGATACCCACGACTATAAGCACATAATCAAATATCTTGAGTGCTCGCGGCTGGCGACCGTTTTGTTCAAAAGTCTTCAAATGGATAAGGGGAGGATAGATATAGACTAGTGGAATGCACGCAAAACAACCGTTGAAGCTGACAAACTTATCAATGTTATCCGCATTGACCCAGGCCAAAACTGTGATGACCATAACAACAATAGCACGGAACAAGTTTTTCATCCACTTAATCTGAGGATTGTATTTGCCAGAAGTTTGGTACAACCGACCTTCTTCACAAGTGTGGCGCTGTTCCTTCGAAAGAAAAAGCGACGAGTTGAAAATGGCCAGCTCGCCAATTTTTATGGCAGGGAAGAGTTGGAGAGGCGCCGTCAAAAAGACTGCTATCGAGTAGAGCACCAAGATCAGCTGCACGGCCGCGTTCAGCTGGGGCAAGTTCAAAATGATAATCAGCTTGACGTTCTCGCCATATGCTGAATAGCCCACCACGCCAATCAAAACAAAAAGCGTGGTGATGGCGATCATCGAAACCAGAAGAACAAGCGGGAATTTCTCGGGCCTTGCCATGGACGCCTCGATAGGTAATATAAGCCCAATGCCCTCGAAAGACGTCACGGCAATACCAATGAGCATTGACCACGTGCTGCCATTGAAATTGACAATGTGAGGGCCCATGCCTTCTTGGATAAGCTGCAAGCCCGAGAAGTAGAAGATGATCACGAGTCCTACCAAAATAAAGACGGACGAGGTGAACGACGTGAACGACAATTTAGCCAAGTCCCGAATGAGCGCAAGGGGAATCAAAAGCATGCACTGCACTAGAAACATCACTTGCTTGTTCAACTGAACATTTAGGAAGCTTTCGAGAAACGAAGTCATGTTTTCAGCCGTGAACAAGATGTACGTGGCCACAAAGCCGATCTGCGAGATGATGATTGACACCATGATGCAGTATTTGAGCGGCTTGCCATGGGTGAGGTATCCAAGCTCACCATATGAAGACTTGCCTAAAACCTTCTTACTTTGAATAAGCACGATGTAACAAAGATATGTCAAAATGCCAAACACCGACATTATGACAGTGGAGAAAAGAAGCCCGCCATTACAGAACGCACGAGGCAAGAATAAGATACCGGATCCAACCAATGCCTTGAAAAGAAGAAAAAACGTCTTGACGCACGAAGCAGTGCCCTGCGGTTTCTGCTTCTTTCTGCGGGGCTGCTTTCTCGGCAATGACGGGATCCCACGCTCGTGCATCAACAGTGCTTCCTCATCAAACACGTCCTCAAAACGCAGACCCGAGTCGTCATCGTTGTCTGTTTCATCAGCTTCGGAATCGCTGTCGAAATCCTCACCAGCAAACTGGCCATAAATGCTAAGAAACTCGACGAAATTGCGCGTAAGGAAGCTGGGAGGGGCCTTGTTTTGATTCAAGTTTTTCTTCACGAGGAACTCTCGCCGAAATCCACCTGGCACATTGATTTCACTGGCTGTCGACTCTCTTCTCTGCTCAGATTGGAAGTCCAGGAAAGACGACAGGCGCGTCATGCGCCGCTCGACACTGCTGAGCTGCTGGTGCATATACCGGGCCACATCACCGCCAGGTAATTTTAGAGTATCCTGCGGACTGGCCAAATGCTTGCTGATGGTTTTGTAATCGACGTTTGGCAGCCCAAAGCCGTTTATTAGCGACACGCGTTCGTCGTAGTTCTGCGAGTACAGCCGCGCAAAGGGCTCGTTACTGTCACGCGTAAGCCCAGTGTTTGCAGGAATGTTTCTGTGAGAGCTGCCGTCAGAAAGGTTGTCTTGGGACCCTCCAAAAGGGCTCGGCGAGATAGACTCAGAGTGCGGTGGGATTCTGCGAGGCGAGTTCTGGTACGGCGACCGCGACATGGACGCCATGCTTGGCTTTCGACTAGAGGAAGACATTTCTGGGAATCCGAGGTAGGCGCAAGTTATTTGGAGAAGGAACAGGGGGGGGGGGGGGGTCTTTTGGGCAGAAGTGGGGTATGTGGGGCAGTAGTCTCTAAGCTTGGAAGTCAGTTAGAGATGCTTTTCGTGACTGCGGGCGGGCTTGCAGATGCAAAACTGAGCCGAAGAGAAGGCGCGGACTTAGGCGCCTCACGTGCAGCAAGCCGTCCGCGCGAGTGGCAGCGCATAGTAATTGCGCCATATGCCTGTGCCAGTACCGTGAAACATCTTCAAATGTGGATTTCTCTCTTTGTCTTTTTTGATTAACTGAAAATTTTCTGTTGATTAGATCTAGGCTGGATCTTGAGCTGTGTGAATCAGATACTAGTGCGTTGGGATGGAGAATAAAATTGTTCGTGTGGTCATTGATTCAAATCTTCTAAATGGCGCCGCGGCCCTGAGTGGCTGGGCCTCAACCAAGCGCGGAAATCTTAATAGCAAAGAAAGATGTTCTGCACTGTCTCGTCGGTCACCAGACAAGAAGAATTATGGGCGGGCCTGCATCTTGAGCCCAATCTTAGAAATGGTCAAGTGGGAACCCAATTGATTCGTCAAATAGAAGAAATTAATTTATGGTTGAAGGTGCGACTGTGAATGGCGGGGAGTAGATAAATAGGCACCTTGGACCTGCAGGAGATATTACCAACGTGACGCCGGTTATTGGGTGCCAAGATTTCATCAGACTTTTCGCGCCAATGTCTCCTTTGTCAATAGACCTAGCTGCGACACAGACTTCTATGCAATTGCTTGTATAATACTTTCCATTGTATTGACAATTTAGTTCTTTTTTGATTTGAAATTGGCCTGCCGGATAAATCAATTTAAGAAAAGATTTCTAAGGGTATCGGAGAAAAGGGGCTTGCTATGAAGAGTGTTTTAATTCCCCTGGGATTGGAAACTGAATATTGGTTGCATCCATGATGCAGAAACATTTACTCAAAAAAACAAATCGTGGAAGAGAACTATCAAAAACAGTTGACTATCTGAATAACATCCTTAAAAATGTATGCATATTGCTGATTTCATTTGTTCAAAGTAACATAACTGAAAAATGTATATAGAAACCTCCTCCAAATAGGTGTCAGATGGACATAGTATCCAAAAATAACCCTATTTCTGCGGAAAGTACAGTAGAACAGTACTTGTCTGAGGACTAAACTTGGTGTAGCCGGAGCTCATATAGGCGCTTCATTTTTGGTATGAAGATTATGAACCGGTTTAGAAGCACTGGCTGCGGCCGGTCCACTAATACATGCCGAGTGCATGTGCATGCTGTAAATTTGGCCCTTCTGGTTCTGGTCGTCCCGGAATTGATCAAATCATCTCAATGACACCTTATTTTAAGGCTGTCGATTGAAGTCGCAATGGTGAGGCTCATTTGCAGCTGTGCTTCTGATACTACTACTACACCTTTGTAGTTATATGATTACGCTGAAATTGGCCACTGCAGACCACAGCAAGTTGGCTCGTTTTTTTGTTGCCATTCTTAAGCCTGAATGAGGAAATATTTTCTGGCCAATGTCTTGCAATCCCACACTTGGGCTACAAGTGTTTGCAATCCCCAGGCTAACATGTTATCTGGCGCTGCCTCCTACAACTGACAACCAGGGTGATCACTACACTGAGGACGGGCAATTTAAAGGCGTCTCCACTGTCAGGAATTATAGTGTTCGGCACTTTGTGCACTGCCGAATATTTGAACGCTTTGACAAATTGAATGATATTCAAAGGGGTTTTCATTATTCCTAATATATGTAAGCCCTAAACTTTCAAAGCCATTCAGTATACAGGCAAGATGTAGAATGATCCACCATAAATGATTAAGGGATTTCAGCCTATTCATATTATTGAGAAGGCTCTGGTCAGAAAGCGGTCATTCAAAAGATAGTTGGTTAGTCAATAAGTGTTCGAGGGAGGTTAAATCTAACCGTAGGTATTTAAAAGGCATTTGCCCATCAATAACAGCTATCAGCATATCAAACACTTGAACAGGCTATCAACCATCGGTGTATATTTTGAGGACATAGAACTGGCCCAATTTCCTAGATTAAAGGACCCTTAATCCAAGATTAATACATGAAAGGTACTTTTTCCGCCAATCATACTTGAAAGCCCTAGATTTACGATAGTTCCTGGAAAGGTCTTGATCTACAAGCAAATTTGCGGAAGGGTCTTAGCCCATCAATGGGTCACAAGCCTGCAGTCCATCAACCAAGACCCAAAAGGCTCTTGGTCCTGCAACAACGTTTGAAATCCCTTGTGCACTAGCTACAATTATAAGGTGTAATAATGTGACTAATCACATCCACAACATTAGACTGCTAAAAATAAAATTCACTACTAGAACCTGACTACCACGGCACAGCAATCTTTCAATACGTTTGCCATGTCGTAACGGAAGTCCTTGAACTTATCCTCCTGCTTTCGCCGTCAAAAAAATCGTCAGCATTGTCTCCAGGAGGGCATCGAAGATGATTGATGATGACCAGATCGATTTCAAGTAAAGAGGCAGAAATTCCGGGCGGTATTCCTCGAATCTGGGCATTGTCAACTTTTTCTTGAGCTGGTAGAAGAAGCAGAAAGTGTACTTGACACGTCAATGTCCTCGTCGTACTAACAACAACGAAATTAAATCTTGACAAGAGAGAAGTGAGCCGGGCTCTTGGAGATGAGCACGTCCCAGGATTCTTCCGCCTCCATGTGAATTCGAGTGAGACAGTTGAAAGCATCTGATTCTTTCAACTGGTAGCTGTCTATGTCTTTTGTTTCGATCGAGCACGCAAATTCCACAGCGTGGTCTCACGTGTCTTCGAGAGCAATGATTCGAGGATAAAGGCAGGCCAGTCTATGGCCAAGACTTCCTCTATGGGACACTCCTTGATCCAGCTATTTAAGCAGTCGGGGACCAATGTGCGATGTGCAGACCCGCTGTCGTTCAAGCTTTTGAGGAGTAGTAGCACGTGGTTGGACATTGCTGGTAGAAGTATCTTTCAATTCATCCACGGTTACGTTCCATTCATTCAAGACCTTGCATAGTGTAGCAAGGTTTGTATGGCCTCTTAGTCAGCCAGTCACCTGCTCGACCATTGAAATCCGGGTGATCTGCCGAAGTCAAAGCCTCGTCCCCAATCTGGTGGTTTTCTGTAATGATGAAGAATTTATTGTCGCCATCAGATTTCAAAAACATAGACTGACGGGATTTTCGGGGGCTTGGGTAGAGTGGTATATGACAAGTTGGGCATTGTCTCACTACCGTAGAACACTCTTCTGTTCCACGAACATTTGGATTCTTGCATTTTTGAGCTTTTATAAGATGCTGATTCGTGATCCAACACAATCCCAAGTTTGAAAGCTGGTCGCCTATCTAATGGAACTCAATGAGCTTACGGGGATAATAATTCAAGGAATTTGAGGAGACTAATATACTCGCATCTACAGCCACAGTCGACCTTCGAATCTCTAATTCACAGCCAAAGCTGACCACCACCACCATCTGATTTCCAAAAGTCATCCACAGCCAAGGCTGACTATCTGATTTCCAAGAATTCCATCTACAACAGAAATGCCTTCAAACAAGAAAGCATACTCAGGTAAACCGCAGTTTGTCTCATAATTCTCGGACCAATACAGAAAGGACTGGAAGGATTGATTCTGCTCAACGAAAAGATACATTCAATGAATTTAAATGGGCATTGGTTAGTTCACTCTTCTTTTAATTTTTTCCTCCCTTCTTCTTCTTATTATTAGTATTGATATTATTTGTTCAAAACCTGTGTAGCCGGGAATCGTTACTAATAATATGTATCAAGGAATATTATGAGACTTGAAGTTTTACATAATAAAATGTCCGCCCCTAATTCATCTATTGCACTTATTCTAAATAAGGAAGATTCAGTGATAATTAATTCCATAAACGTTGGCTAATTCCACTAACTTTATTTGATTTTCTACTTTATCCCTTAATCTCAGCTATTTATAATTTAGATCTTCTCCGACTGTATAATGATAATGTACGTCAATTCGTGAAACCTTATTCAGGCAGGACAAATTCAGCTTCTAAAAATGATGTTAGTTGTTTAGGTGAGGTTCCTTTGATAAATCTTTAAACAGTGGTAAGGATGAAAGTTATAACGAGGATTATAACCTTAGTCCAAATAATAGTTATAACAAAGATCAAGACCCTAATCCAAATAATAGTTATAATGAAGATTATAACCTTAGTCCCAATAATAGTTATGAAGGCTCAGAGGAAGATAAATTAATAGAAAACACAGCTTTTTCAGTATATGACAAGTTAAACGAAATAAGAAAGGTTAATATTAGATCTGATATTTATGAAGTTCGAGTGAATGTTTTGCACACATGTCGCTGAGTACCTCGCTTGTAAGGAGCAAACTGAAGAGAAGATAGGTTTTGGATTCAAGGTCGTGGCCAACGGAAGGGGGCGGGCCGACGAAATTGGTAAGTATCTGGGAACCGTTTAAAGGCTTATATGTATTCATTATTTGTATAGCTTGGCTCCTTCTATCAGATGAATCGATCAAAAAAAGTTTCATTGTTTTGCTTCAGTCAGATTGATCTGCCAAATCAACGTCGCATTTTGCTCCATACGCTTGCATCCCGTCCCTCGGGAAATACAGCACTCAGTTTTCCTGGAAGTTGAGCGAATGAAGAAGTCACAATTTTTGGCGGAAGGAAATATTACATGGAGCGAAACATTGCCAGTGTTGTTTTGTGGCGAGATAAACATAAAGTCTCGGGATGCATAACCCACTTCAATTCATCAGCAGCAGGCAATATTGAACACACCCAATGATATTGGCCGTAAAAAGAAACCATGTTTTCAAATTAATCAATGTCTTCTTTCTTGCTTTTTGTCCGCAACTATTCATCTTGTCTTTCCTGGATCATTCATGGCTTTTGCAAGTAGATGGCTGATGAATATTCTTATCGATGACACCGGGAAATGTGACGCACTGAAGCATACTTTGCCCAAAGGTGCCTGCAACAATTTTTTTAAGCTGCTGGGACAGCTCCCGTATGGTATTTTATCAGAAATAATTCAGAAATTCGAGAGAGCTCATGCATCACTGATTCATTGTCCCTGAGTTTTCACTGCTCCAAGCTTGCCTCCGTTTTTCAACTGCTTTTCCCTCGAATAAATCCTCAACTCCTCATAATAGATCTGCAAAGAATGTTTATTTTAATTTACATATCCACATCAGTTCTATCATCATGAGCGGCACTCTGTTCAAAACTTTCCAGCGGAGTATTGCTCTCCGATGACACCGGCACTCATGGCTACGGTGGAAGTCACACCTCCAGAGACCAAGTCCAACAAGGAGTCGATGTACTGGCACCCGACCATTTCTGGGGTATATAAAAAGTCTGTCCTCTAATGTAGGAACAAATGATCGAGGAAACCCAATGGTGTTTTGAACTTAGTACTCGATTCTATACTCTGAATAAATTCAGTTGTCAATCTGTACGTGCACCCAAACCCTGCTTCCCTGCGGTATACGCAAAGACCCAAAAGTAGACATGTAAAAGTATCATAATTCAAAGGATTGCAAAGCAGATGAAATAACAAGTATAGTTGTCACTTTCTCCTCGGCTTTGTGCATGTTTTGATTCACTCAGTGACTGAATTTCAGTTATTTGTTTAAGAGGAGTGCTTTCTGATATTACCCACTGGTGTTGCAGTATCAGGGCCACGTGTACTAGAACAACAGTTTGCGCAACCTGGTTTTCGGATCCCGTTGTGAATGCATAATCATAGAAGTTGAGCGCACATCCATACAGCCCTTCGGGAATTTAAACCTAGGGAGTTTCTTGTTGCCAAAAATTCGTAAATATTTTTGACACTCAGTACGAAATGGCGAGAAAACCTGTTTTTAAAAGCAGAAGAATCGCCGTTTGAAAGCTGTTTTTTGCACCATTTTCAGCGGTTCCACAAGCGTACTAAAGAGAGTGATTGTGAGAGTAATAGTGAGAGTAATAGTGAGAGTACTAGTGAGAGTACTAGTGAGAGTACCAGTGAGAGTACTAGTGAGAGTAATAGGACTAACAGAGGCACCAAGAAAAGTTTTGGAGGGACTTGGCTTAGGCTGCATAGGCTCGAGACAACGGCATCACAGGTCTCAGCGTGCTGCCATCCAAAATGTATGGATATTTGATCCTTGGGCCTTGGCCCCAGAAAGTGTTCTTTCACTTTATGCTTATTTATTTTGCTTTTGATGGCAACACAGAGCTCTGGATTCTGGACTTGCTGGCCGTAGGCCTTCATACCAATCTCGGCGTAATTCTTGGCGAACGAGTCCACGGCCAAGGCGGTGGTATGTAAACCGGCCGAAAAATGAATTGCCACACGCAGCCGAGTTTGGCAAGTCTGGAAAAGTATATCTCCTGGTCTTGCGAGTTCATGGCAGTGTTCCAGTTGGAAGATCGTGACAAGTAGTATGACTGGTCGGATCATCTTGCCACCGAACTTCTTAGCTTGGTCGTAGTCTGGCGATGCGGACTCCATCCACACCATGTCCGCAAAATAGATCTTCAGGTGTTAGGGAATAGAGGCTATGAGCGAGAGTTTGATATGGGATGAAGAGGAAATTAGACAAAGAGGGCAGGTGTTCTTTTGCTACATACATGGAAAAGACCTGGCGTTATAACACAGATTACGAAACACACGAAACCAAATCGAAACCAAAATACGAAACCAAAATACGAAACCAAAATACGAAACACAGGATACGAAACACAAGATACGAAACCAAAATACGAAACACAGAATACGAAACCAAAACTCGAAACACAAATTCATACCGGAGGGGATCAAACAAACCTAGGGTTTTGTTAGGAACTTCACGGGACATAGGGGTTATGTATTACTATTTGATCACTGGTTTCTCTCCAAGGGACGCAACGAGCTTCTGAAAAATAAAGGATATACATGAACCCTGATCCCAGTATGTAACAGAGCGGAACGACCGTGGAGCAATTAGAGCCGGTGAACAATAAGAGAAAGTAGCTGCATCGGGCTCGACTTTTGAGTTAGAAACGATGGCAGCTGCTTCTGCCGGAGTAGGATTAGCACGACGGAAACGGGCTCCCCGAATAAGGGACTGGCCACGCGGTCTGTAAAGCGGGCGACCAGGGATGGCGATAGCAAGATGCCACCATTGGGCATCGAGGGCTTTGAAAAACGGAAAATACGATGGGCTTGTCTTGTAGAGTCCTGCAAGCACCGTAGCAATAGCGGGCGTAGACAATGCGCCCTTCTGTGTGAGAAACTCATAGACGGACGCGAACTCGGTTTCCACAAACGGTAAGGTATCCAATGTGCGAAGGACATCCCGGGTCTCCCAAGAAGTGAGAGCGGGGGTTTGCATGGCTAAGCAACGAGCTTTGTGATCTGCAACAAGAGCGTTGAGTTGTTCGGGGGGAATCTTCCAAGCAAGAAATGCTGACAAGAATTGGCAGTTCGACCGAACACGGCGAAGTTGTGACCTGAAAGAGCGAAAAGCGGCTCGATCCGGCCAGTCCTTATTCTCGGCAGCTCGCAAAATAGCAGAGTATAACGCAAGTGCGTTGAACCGGGGCTTGTGTCGGATCTGCGGGGCTAAGGAGGCAACAAACGCAGACCTGGACAGAAAATCAAGGCATGAGAGGTTATACATCATTGGTCTCCGAACTGTTGGGTAAGTTTGTGACCGTGCACGCCGAATACCCTTTGAGAGTAGATAAAGGAGGACCAAAAGAGCGGCAGCATACAAATATGAAATCGAACGAGGAGCAGGCCAAGTGTAAATCAAAACACACACACGCACGAATTGGTGGAGCCATACAAGGGGCTCGGAAGTGAAGCCAAGGGACGCGAAAGGGAGCCCCGCGGGTGTTGAACGTCCAGTATTAACCTCAATAGCGTGGGTGAGGTTCCGAACGCTGGATATGAGACGGTCCAAGCCTTCAATGCGCCTCCACTGAGCAGAATCTCTTTTAGAAAGAAACGACGGGAAATAGCCCGTGCAAGCCGGAAAAAACGGCGGAGGGTATGGCGGAGGACGAAAAAAACAGGGGCCCAAAAAAAGAAGCGTCAAAGAATTGAGAAGACACCGCGTATGAGCGGGAGGAACAAAGGAAGTGCAACAACTGAGAGGCGCAGGAATAAGGGCGAAGCCATCCGCATTCCTGGAGTAGTCAAACCATGTTGGTTAACACAAAGTCAAAGATGGTATCATGTGTGTGAACAAAGGTGAACGCATCATCGTAAATGGCATGGTAAGAGTGTTCCGCAGGAAACGCAGCCTCCACCAAATTTATTCCCGATGGAGCGAGGGCTGCGAACTGAGTCGAAGAAATCTGAAGCGGTAAGGCCAGATACGGCAAACCAGGGGCGTTGAGTGACCAGGCTGTGAGCTTGAAAATGAGCCAGCAAATAGTAAATCGGTACAAACCAAAGGATGCCACGGTAAGAGTGGACACTGCCCCGAATGCAGTAACCATTATCTCGGGGACAGAGGGCCACTGGAGCCACTGGATTTTACGACCTCAATGTTAGAAACTTCACGGGACATATGAGTGATCAAATAGTAATACATGACCCCTATGTCAAGTCCCTGACAGGTTTGGTGGAGTTAAACAAGGTGCACATACAAGTAGACATCGCTCACACAGTAATACAATAAGCATCCGCTCCCATCGATATCCAGTGACACCATTGTTTCACGCTCCAAGCTAGCCCCTCCAACCGACCAAGACGTTTCCCCAAAGAAGAAAGCCGCCCGAGTATCCAACGTCCAGTGCCGTACCCAGGCACCACGCCTCTGGGCCCGCTCCGTCACGTGACCACAATCTCATCACGTGACCACGATCTCATCACGTGACACACTTCCCTCACGTGACGCGCGCCGCTCGCGCCTTTTCCAACCGCCAACTGTAAACTCCCCCCCAACCCCCTGGATCATGCTGTCGGCAGCCCTGGCGCCCACACCGCTGTTTCTAGACGGCGTGGAGGCGCCGCGGAACTTCAACCCGGCGCCCGCGCCGTTCGCCCTCGTGGTGCAGGAGCTTTTCCTCCGGCTCGAGGCCGTGTGCGCCGCCAACAAGGCGCCGTTCGGCTCGGTGGGCGAGAAGAAGAGCCACGTCATTGCCCAGTTTGTGCACACGTGGCGCACGCATTTCGGCAGCGACATCTACCCCGCGGCGCGGCTCGTCTTGCCGCACCGCGACCCCCGGCGGTATCACGTCCAGGACGGGGCGCTCACGCGGCTCGTGGTGCGGCTCTTGCGGCTCCAGAAAGGCCTGGCGGACCACGACTTGGTGGCGCACTGGCGGCGCGACCACCACCACAAAGCGCGGCTCGCGGGCCGGCGCGAGCGGCGCGGCACGGGCGACTTCCCGCTCCTCGTGCTGCGGCTCGTGCAGCGGCGGCGCGACCCCGCGCACCCGGTGGCCTCCTCCGTGTCGGTGGCGGACGTGAACGCGGCGTTGGACGCGGCGGCAGGCCTGCGGCAGGCCACGGAGCAGGCCGCGGCGCTCGCGCCGCTCGTGGCGCGGATGACCGTGGCGGAGGTGCGCGTGTTCTTTGGGATCTTGCTCCAGCAGCCCATGCTCTCGTTCTACGAGCGCAGTTTCTTCGACGCGTGGCACGCGGACGCGTACGCGCTCGCGCAGGTGTGCGGCGACTTGGCCACGGTGTTGTGGGCGCTGGCGGACCCGCGGCGGCGGTTTTCGGCGGCGCAGCTCTGCGTGCAGCCGATGCACCAGTTCGTGCCGCAGGCGCTGCACAAGCTCACGGTGTCGTACGCCGAGCTCTGCCGCAAGATGGCCCAGCCGCTCGTGCGCGAGGGCAGGGACCCCGGCTTGGTGCGCATGTACGACGCGCAGCGCCTCCAGGGCCGCTTCCTCATCGAGGAGAAGATCGACGGCGACCGCATGCTCATGCACATGGCCGGCGGCCGCTTCCGCTGGCACACGCGCCGCCGCCGCGACTACACGCCCGTGTACGGCGAGACCACGCACGGCGGCTCGCTCGCGCCGCACCTCGGCGGCGCGTTCGCCGACAACGTGCACAGCGTGGTGCTCGACGGCGAGATGGTGGCCTGGAGCAGCGCCCGCCAGTGCGTGCTCCCGTTCGGCTCGTTGCGCTCCGCGGCCGTGCACGAGGCGCTCAAGCAGCGCGCCGCCGTGGACGTGTACGCGGGCAACGACAGCTGGCCCATGTACATTGTGTTCGACATTGTGCACCTCAACGGGCGCGACTTGACGCGGCTCCCGCTCTTCTACCGCAAGAGCGTGCTCCTGGCGGTGGTGCGCGAGGTGCCGCGGCGGCTCGAGGTGCTCCGCTGGATAAAGGCCGCCGGGCCCGCGGACATCGAGGCCAACATGCGCCGCATCGTGTGCGCCAACAACGAGGGCATCATGGTCAAGTCGCTCTTGCTGAAGTACCGCGTGCACAGCCGCGACCTGACGTGGATCAAGGTCAAGCCCGAGTACCTCGAGAGCTTCGGCGAGAACCTCGACCTCGTGGTCATCGGCAAGACCGGCCGCGTCAAGACGGCGTACTTCTGCGGGCTCCGCGACGACGCGCACGGCGGCACGCACAAGCTGTTCTGCGCCGTGGCCAACGGCTTCTCCGCCGCCGTGTACCGCCACATCGAGTCCGCGCTCGGCCCGTTCTGGCAGGACCACGCCGCGTGCCCGCCGCCGCCGGACGTCGTGCAGTTTGGCGCCAAGAAACCCGCGTTCTGGGTGCACCCGGCCCACCTGGTGGTCTTGGAGATCAAGGCCCGCTCCGTCGACTCCGCCGCCGGCTCGTCCTACGCGGCCGGCTCCACCTTGCACAACCTCTGGTGCCGCGCCGTGCGCGACGACAAGTCCTACGACGAGTGCCTCAGTCTCCAGGACTACCACGAGCTCCGCCGCCGCCACTCGCGCGACCCCGGCAAGCCGCAGCGGGTCAACCGCGACCGCAGGCTCGACCACGCCGACTCCATCTACCAGAAGTACGCCGTGGCCGGGCCGCCGCCGCCACTGCCGGCCGCTAACCGCTCCGAGCTCTTTGCGGGCTTGGTGCTCGTCGTGGCCACGGACTCCCACGACCCCGCCACGGGCGTCGCCGTGCCGGCCGCCGACACGCGCCGCGTGGCCGCAAGCCACGGCGCGGACGTGTGGCTCGACGTGCGCCCCGACGATTTGCGCGTGCTCTCGGTCTTGCTTGTGGGCGAGGTGGCCACGCCGCGCGTGCGCCGCTGGATCGCGGACGGCTTCGACGTGCTCCGGCCGCGCTGGGTCCACGAGTGCGTGCGGCGCGGGCGCCTCGTGCCGCTCGAGCCGCAGTATGTGTTTTGCGCCAACTCCGCGGCGTTCCAGCGTGCGCTCGGTGCGCGTGTCGACGTGTTCGGCGACAGTTATACGGAGGGCGGCGTGTCGTCGTCGGGCTTTCTCGCGTACCTTGCGGGCTTGCCCGTGGACAGCCCGCTCAGTGCGGGCCAGTCGGAGTTTGAAGACCGCCAGTCCGAGTTTGAGGTCGGGCGGCTTGGGTATGAAGATCGGCGGCGTGACTCTTGCGAGTCCGAGTCTGAGGTCGGGCGGCCTGACCCCGGCCAGCCCGAGCCTAAAAACCGCCCGGCCAGCCCCGGCCAGCCCGAAGCCGAGCCTATCGCCGACGCCCCGGCGCTTTTCCGCGGCGCCTCGTTCTACGTGGTGCCTGCCCCGGGGCTTGCCGGGTCCGCCGAGCAGGCCCGCATCCAGCGCCGCATCGAGCGCTTCGCCGGCCGCGTGGCGCCCGGCCCGGTGGGCTGCGGCTACATCGTCATGCCGCAGTCTTTGGTGGACTCGGGCTCGGCCCAGCAGGCGCAGAACGAAGTGCGGGCCCAAATCGCCCGCTCGTTTGGCGAGCACTCGCGCCTCGCGTACATCGTGGCCGAGCGCTTCTTGCGTGCCAGCATCGACGCCGGCGAGTTGGCCGACCCGGCGCTGTTCGGGCTTGATGGCTGACGCCCGGGGCCCCCGTGCCGGGGTCTTTCCGGCCTAGGGCACTGCTCTACGCGCCGGGCTAAACAAGCCCGACCGGTCTACGGTGTCCATGAACAGGCTGCTCCAGCCGCGTGCTACCACGTTATCAGCCGCGTGCGAACACGTTATTCATGCCAGCTTGGCCGGAGACGCGGAAGCCGCGGCGGCACAAGGGAACGCGTGAACGCAGGACAAGAACGCGGAACTAGGGAAGGGCGTCGTGCGAACGGGCCAATTTTAGCCGAAGCCCTGGGTGGGGGGACGGGGGCAGACGACGGGAGACGGCCGCGTAACGCGCTTTGGCGTGGCGAGAGGCCGTGGCGGTTTTGGCGTGACCGCACTCTAACCGTCGGGGTTCCAAGAAAAAAACGCCAGATCTGGGTTCCCCAGCTTCACCCAAAAACGTCACTGGGTGCTGGCAGCTTGTGGGTGCGATTGTGCCGAGATTGTTCCGTGGTCGGCGCGGGGGCCTGCGCTTCACCCGCCCTCGGCGATAAGCTCCACCGCTGACCCGCGGACGCCCTTGGGACTCCTCGCAAGGCGTGCACACAGCGGGGAAGTTTGGTTTCGTTGCATGGAAGCTGCCGAATGCGGAAAGTCTGCGCGGCCAGCTCGTCCCCGCACCTGCGCACCCTTGGGCGGACTCTTCATGCAGGCGATTGCCCAGCCAAAGACCGGCTTCACGTTATTAATGGCCTCAAGGGACGAGAACAAAGGGATTTCTAATCAGATCCGAAGGGAAGGTGCGGCCGACGCGGTGTTCCGAACAGATCCTTCCGCGGATCGTCTGTTGGAAAGGCGCGTGGCCGGACTTCCCCCACTGTTGTTGCTCTATTTGCTTTTATACCCTTTTGGCTCATACCCTGCTTGCGCAGCCCAACAGACGCCTGTCCTGTGAGGAGCGCAGAAGATAATCCGCAAAGTCACCGACCTGAACGGGAGGCGAGCGTGCGGGCGTGTGTGCAGGGCCCCGGGCGCTGTGCATGCCCGTCAGCGCATATGCATCAGCTCGTCCGCGGGCGAGATGGGCGTATTAAAGAAACCACATATCCAGGTCAGGCACCCTCAAAGTCTCATCTTTTACGACTTTCTTCAACGTTGCACCTTTCATTTCACCCCATCTTTCAAAGAAAAAACATTCATCCCTCGGAATCCCAAATGAATGTGCGCTCGCAAGACGACTGCTTCATTCACAGGCGCAGCCTGTTCAGCGAAAACGTCGATTACATGTCGCCCAACAATATCTCCAACTTTGACCTTCATCTCTGCTGGAAGGAAAACAACTCTGTGTCGGTGAAGAGTTCGCAAGACGACATCTCCTCCAAGATTCCCTCGTCTGTCTCCAGGCGCCTAGAGAACGTCTCGTGGCGCAGGATGTACAAGCAAATCTGGAACTTGAGTGAGGCTCTGCCCGCCACTATAAACTGGAGCAAAAGTCTGGATATCACCTGGCTTTTTGGCCCCAAGTATGGCGTGGATAGCCCATTGGCCGACGTGCCCTTGACCTCGTCAAACTTGTCGAAGTTGACGCGAGACGACATTCTGGAGTGTGCAGCCGACGAGGTCTCGTCCATGTCTTCCACGCACCTGATGTCGTTCGATGACCGTTCGCTGATGGAGCTGCTGGAGGATATCGGCGAAGAGTACGACGAGTGCTGCTCGGGCTTGAAGCTGGTTCTCAAGCTGGAATGCCGGCGCTTTGTGCGCCAGGAAAAGAACACGAAGAAGCGCGTCAAGTTCAACTACATCATCAATTCCCGCGAGATCATGAACGGGATTTCTTTCGACTACCATTTCTTGGACCCGCTGTGTTTATAGGATCTCGGTACCCGTGGAGCAACGGGCCCGAACAGACGACGAAAGGCGAACTGCACGGGGATCCCGTCACTTGGGCTGGCCCAACTTAGAAGCGAGCATAACATTAGCATAAACATTACATTTACCCAGGCATCAATACATTTCCACGAAATCTTCATCACAAAATTGTTTTTGTCATTGTAAAGAACCCTTCGAATTGCAAGCGTCCTCGTGGCTTGACTTATGCTGGAGAGGCGGACTAAGATCGGTCGATTCCAAAGGACAACAAGGACGAATCTGGAACCTCCGAATCACAATTGCGCACGAATAGTGTGGTTTGACATATTTTGTGGTTTTATCGTGAGATCGTAGGATCGAATTTTATTTTCTGATATTATTATGTGATATTATGATGTGATTTTATTATGTGATTTTATTATGTGACCTCTCGTTATGTAATCATTATGTGATCATTATGTGATCATCATGTGAGCTGATCTCGTGAGCTTATTATTACAAGAGCTTACTATGTGACATCCTACACCAGCCCACAATCATTGCCAATTCTTCAACCTACTTGTAAGTTGCTACCATGGTTAATACTTGGGATACGCTAGCAATCGCTGTAGGCCGAAGCTCGCATCCAAATGCAATTATCAATTATCGATCCCCAAACGGTTTCCGCGGCTGCTTTCCGCGAGCACCGGCTTATCGTCGCATGTCACGTGACCGACTGCCGCCGCACGCGATGCGTGTGCGCGATTTTCGCAGGATCCGAATCTCCCCGGATTGCGCTGCGAATGCCAAGAGCTCGTTTAGGTACTAGATCTTGGAAAAAAGCGGAGTAAGGTCATTGTGTCCTACGAACGCGTCCTTGATATCGGGCGATGCCCCAGGAAAATGCGAAAATTGCGCGATTTGAAGATCCGGTGGTCGTCCGTGGGGCACGTGACCTGCCACGAGGCGTTATCGTGGCGATTGCTGTGCCCTATCGCCGTTCTGCACGGCTTCTTATTTGCAAGTTGCGGCAAACACCGAGTGCTAAAAAAGAAACGTTGAGATGGCGACGGAGTACGAGACGCCCCCGTTTTCTTTGCTCGCCTCTACAGGCCTCTGTTCAGATCAGACGGAGATCCTGTCTTTCGATTGTCGAAGTATGACAACGTGGGAGTCCGTGAATGCAGCCCACGTTTGCGTGAAGGCGTTTCGGTGTCGCCTGCGGTGTTGAGAGATGACCGTAAAGATGCTGCATATAGGCGTGCACCTCGTGGCATGCAGTGCGTGACAGACGTGCAGACCGGCGTGCCTCTTTGTGGCAAGCTTTCGCAGCTGCCAGCGTTCGAATTAGTCATCTGCAAGTAATGGCTCTGGTGTTGCTGACGCAAAAAGGACTGCGAGTGATTAGTCCACTTACTCTAAAGATGTCATGGCACGGCTCTCAAACGGTCGGGCGTATATGTATGGTATAAAAGGTGCAGGCTGCCAGGCGTCTGCCAGACGGCTTGTGGCGCTCAACCTCGTGCTTGTTCCTGGCGGTATCCTAGCAACCAGGCTGGGGGGCATATATATCCACGCCAACAGCTTCAGCACTGCGCAGATCGTTTTAGTCAGTCTGGAGAACGGCGCATTCATTCCGGACTGCACAGCACCAGGGTTCGCAAAAACGGCGCACGCGCCAAAGACCGCGCTGTATCACGTCCGCCGCGGAGTACGGGCTCTCTGCGCGGCCTCCCCGCAGGATCGCAGCAGCACCACTGACTTGGCAAGCAGACCCAAATTGCTTTTTGGGCGGCCCCGAGAGAGGAGTCTTTGCAGCCCATGCCTTGGAATCGTGTCTTCCCGCCATGGTTCTTCCGCGATACGAGTCATGCCGACAATCTTGCCGGCCCTGATTCTGGGGTTCCCCCTCTTTTCGCAAAAGTGCAGACGTGGCCCGGTCGGCGGGGCCGATCCAGAATGCCAGTGGATTTGACCAGCGCTGTTTTTGTGTTTGCGCGCCTCAAACCAGGGGGTTCCCCCGCGAGGCTTGTCGAATCGCAAAAAAATCGAAATCGCAGCCTCCGGCGGTTATCGGCGGGAACGGCGTTCCAGGTCCAAGCGACACAAAAACTTGGGGTGTCACTGGCTTGCGGTTTCGGGCTGCGGGCCGTCTGGCGGACGCGTGCTGAGTGCGGCGGCACGGTCCATCTGCCTCCTGGCGTGTTTCATGCTTTTGATGTCGTTCATGGTTTTCACGTGCTGGAGCACGAATTGATCGTGCGAGGCCAAGAGGTCGGCAAGGGGCTGTTTGATCCTGCGTATAGCCGTGGCTAGCTCGCCGTAGGCGTCCGGCGGTGTGATGCCGTTATCCGGGTTTGGCGGCTGAGACTCCGACATGACTACGGGGGTGGTGGACGCGTTAGCACGGGAGCAGTGCTGTGTTTTGGCTGCTGTTTCGGTGGTGCACGGGTGTAAACGTGCTGTGTTTTGGGTGCTGCTCTGGCCTCTGGTGGTGCACGGGTGGGACGATGTATCTGGCTTTGTGTGGTGCACGGGTGCGCGGGCCCCATGAGCACGACGCGCCTTCACCAGACCCCTCCAAACGAGCCATGGCCTCCGTCCAACGCGTCCCAGATGAGCTCGACGACGAGCTCGACCCGCTGGTGCTCGAGGTGCACACCCTGCGCAGCCCGCCGCCACATCCGGCCGGCCCCCCGGCGCCGCTCCGCCATCGCGTCGATCCACACGCGCTCGACACGTACGTCTACCCCACCAATCTCCAGGTGCGAGACTACCAGTACAACATTGTGCGGCAGGCGTTCTTCCACAACACGCTCGTGGTGTTGCCGACCGGGCTCGGCAAGACGTTCGTGGCCAGCACGGTGATCCTCAACTTCTGGCGCTGGTTCCCGGAGCTGAAGATCGTGTTCATGGCGCCCACCAGGCCCCTCGTGGCCCAGCAGATCAAGGCGTGCTGCGGCGTCACGGGCCTCCCGCCGCTGCAGATGGCCATCTTGCTCGACTTGACGCGCCGCAACCGCGCGCAGATCTGGGCGAGCAAGCGCGTGTTCTTCACCACGCCGCAGGTCGTGGAGAACGACCTCAAGTTGGGCTCCGTGGACCCGCGGCTGATTTCGCTCGTGGTTATCGACGAGGCCCACCGCGCCAAGGGCAACTACGCGTACCACAACGTGGTGCGCTTCATGGACCGCTTCCACCGCCACTACCGCATCTTGGCCATGACCGCCACGCCCGCCTCCTCCGTGGACGGCGTGCAGGAGATCATCGACAACTTGCACATCTCCCGGGCAGAGGTGCGCACGGAGCGCAGCATCGACATCGTCCGCCACCTCAAGCACAAGACCGTGCAGCGCATCCGCGCAGAGCCGTCGGACGATGTGCGCTACGCCATCGGCTGCGTGTGCTCGGCCATCGCGCCCATCTTGAAGCAGGCCAACGACAAGCGCATCTACGACGTCACGGACCCGGCGCTCATCAACGCGTTCACGGCCATGGACGCCCTGCGCCGGCTCGTGGCCAACAAGGCCATCAACGACGGCGTCAAGTGGGCCGGCCACAGCCTTCTCCAGGTCTTGGGCGTGGCCGGCCAGTGTCTCCGCCGCCTCAACATCTACGGCGTGCGCCTGTTCTACTCGTACTTCAAGGACAAGCACGCCGATTCGCTCGCCAAGACGGCCAAGCTGCGCAAGCCCACCGCGGCCTCGCGGTTCATGCACCACCCGCAAATCGCCCAGTTGATGGCCTTCTGCCACCAGCGTGTGGCCGACGCGGCCTACTTGGGCCACGAGAAGTTGGAGATCGTCGTGGCCGAGGTGCGCCGCTTCTTCGAGTCCACCACCAACCTGGACTCACGCGTCATCATCTTCTCCGAGTTCCGCGAGGCCGCGCTAGACATTGTGCGTGCGCTCGAGCAGCTGGGCCCCGGGCTCCGGCCCCACATTTTCATTGGCCAGTCCAAGGACACCAAGTCGGAGGACGCCCGCTTGGCCGGCCCCCGGACCAAGGCCGCGCGCAAGAGCGCCCGCGACCAGGCGGCCCACAGCGGCCTGGCATCCTCGGAGTTGGCCCAGCTCACGGGCATGAGCCAGAAAATGCAAAAGGAAACCATCCGCAGCTTCAAGGACGGCGTGTACAACGTGCTCGTGGCCACCTCCATTGGCGAGGAGGGCTTGGACATTGGCGAGGTGGACCTCATCGTGTGCTACGACTCCACGTCCTCGCCTATCAAAAACGTCCAGCGCATGGGGCGCACGGGCAGGAGCCGCGACGGCAAGGTCTTGCTCTTGTTCTCGGGCAATGAGGAGGCCAAGTTCGACCGCGCCATGGGCGGCTACGAGTACATCCAGCAGCACATCATGAACGGCAACTTGATTCTGTTGCACGAGCAAAACAGACTCATTCCGGACGGGTTCTCGCTCACCGTGGACGAGCGCTTCATCGAAATCCCGGTGGAGAATAACGCCATCCGTGAAGAGGCGGACGACGACGAGATCATCAAGATCGCCACCAAGTACATGACGGGCAGCAAGCCAGCGGCCAAGGCAAAGCCGTCCACAACGCGAGCGAAAAAGACACCGCTGAAAACTCCCCATATATCGCCTGGTCGGGACAAGGTCCAGAAACGGTTCTTCATGCCCGATAACGTCACGACCGGGTTCCAGCTGGTGAGTGCCATGATGCGGCAGGCGACTGAAGAATCCGCAGAAGGGACAGGGATTTCTGCTGCAAAACGCGCCAAGCTAGAGGACAACAAGGAGCGGGATATTCTCGACCTGTTTCTCGATTCGGAAGAAGACCACTCAGACGCGCCCGAATCCCTAAGCTGCGCGCCCCTTCCGCAACAGACGACCGGATTAGAGTGTTTAGCCCCTGCAAGGACGGAAGTGATTTGCCAAACAAAGCCGGCGCCGGCCAGAGACAACCCAAATGCGGATCATGAAACTAAGGCGCCGGCTATCGACAGCCCAAATGAGGCCCCAAAAACCGAGGCCCTGGCCAGACACAGCCCCAGTGTATGCAGCCGGACAAGTAGCACATTTCTACGTCAGCCGCAACTCGATTCGCTTCTCTCGCTGCAAAAAAGCTCCAGATCTTCCTCGCCCCTGTTGGGAGTGAAACGGCGTCCTCCGTCTGTCTTGGAGCAGTTGAAGGCCCAAGCTTGCCAGACACAGAGCAGGCTGCATGCTGCCCCAGAGGTCAAGCAAGAGACGAGCGACAATGATGACTTCAGTGACGACGACGAAATTTTGGCCCTCGTCCGCCGCACCCAGTCTGGGGATGGCCAAAGCATGATGGTTAACGCATCACAGAGTGCACTGAATTTTGCTGAAACCGCTTCTTTGGTTTGCCTGCTGAGCCATATAGACGTGGAAGAGACCAAGCAACATGCGGCGCAGCCTAGAATGCACATACCGATCGAAAAACCGGTCATCCTGCAAAGACTGCCGCTCTCGGTCCAAAGCGGGTCTTCGGTTTTTTGCTCAACGAAAGATCCTGGTATTGTACATGTGTGCGCTGACAAGGATGGGATGCTCAGTGCCAACGAATGGAATGACCTATATATGAACTACTTCGTTCCTGTGGACGAATTTGGGCTCGAAGAATGCGCAGTTCCGCGGCCAGCCGCCCAAAGCACCCAAACAGAATATAGTGGGTCGAAGTCAAGGTCGTATTCCCGTTTGCTCGAGACAATCAGAGACATGACAGACGAAGACGCGACAACTCTCATTGACAAATACAGGCGTATGGGAACGCAGGAGTCTTCTTTTCTAGAGGTCGTTGTTCCGGACTGACTACATGAAACTTCGCCGCAATCGTCCCATGTATCAATGAGGCGATGACATAGAATAGCGTTGGCAGAAGTATGCCCGATACATTTGGAACGGAAGATATTTCGCACCCACGGCAAAGAGGCGGTCGTGCAGGCAGTCGTTTCCCCGTTTCTTGCGCTGGGTTCTGATGAGAGGCCACATTTTACGATCAAACAGATGATGTGTTTGGAGAATTGTGCACAAACCATACGGCAGATGGCATATCCGATATGTTGGTGCACAACGAGCACAGACTACTGGATAGGTCCCGAGCCGATTGCGTCAAATTGGGAATGAATGAGGTCTGGTGTCGGCAGATTTCAACATTTCTCAAGATATTTGGTACAGGGAACACTCCCAGAACTATCTTCTTTTGGGGGATGCCACTATTGTAACGTACAGGACGTGAAGTGTATGAGGCTACCTCGATCACGGTCTGTAGCTGGCCAATACAAGCACGTGCGTCATTCCCTGAATTTAGTCTTGGTTAGACAAGCTGAGAGTCTAATCTTCTTGGATTTGGTGCGGTGTGGGAAAATGACCACAATGCCATAAGGAGTGTGGCTGTTCTACACAAGGGAGAGAGACTTGAGTGTGGCTTCAGTTGGATGAATCTGAGGTCTATGATGTTGCCCCGGAAACACAGTCGGATTTCTAGTGCCACCCGCCAAACTCAGCTCTTATCCCGCCCACCAGACTCAATTCTTGTTTCGCCCGGCAGATTCAATCTCACGCTACGGTTTATCTTGGTAGGAGAGCCGAGTGGGAACGACCATCAACAAGATGATGGCCAAGTATCACTAGCTCAGTCACCCCCTTCTTTTGCAAGTAGCACTCTTGTATATAAGAGACGAGCCCGATACGTATAGCAGTTTCGGCATACCCGCAATAAAAGAAAAGTCCACAGCCAGAGCCAGGAAGCCAGTGAACCCGGGTTTTCATCCGGTCCAAAACGCATTCGGCAGGACGCCGCACCGGGTTACCCGCCTTTCGGGCGCGAGTATATAAGCTGGGCGTCCGGCCCCTCCCCACCGACTTTTTTCCTCATCTTTATGCAGGGGCATTACGTGTATCAGTGAGGATTCGTCCGAGATCATGTTTTTGCTGGTTGAAAACTATAACCTGACAGCTTCCTGGTGGGCCGGGCTTGCTCTGGTCCGCCAGGGGAATTTTTGGACTCTTTTTTTTTCCGTCCCAACGGTACTTCCTTGAAGACCCTCGGGCGTTCCTTTTCGTTCTTGGCTTCGTAATTGAGGACAGTTATGCCGCGAAGAACGGGCGGCTCGAGCCGCGTCGAGAGCTCCGCTTTCTCGCGATGGAAAGTAGGAGAAACCCGCAAACGGGTCTCCCCCCCCCCCCCCCCCCCCCCCC